GACAAGGCACTGGGGACACTGGGGATTTTGGGGATGTTGAGAACACTGGAGACATCTCTATGGGACACTGGGGACATTGAGGTCTCTGTGGGGACATTGGGGATGTTGGGAACACGGGGACATTGGGGTGGTGGTGACAGGGCTATGGGGACATTGGGATGATGGGGACAAGGCTATGGGGACATTGGGCACATTGGGGACACTGGGAACATTGGGGACACTGTGGATGTTGGGGTGGTGGAGACGTCTCTACAGGGACAGGAGCTGTCCCCAAGCTGGGCCACCACCACCAGGAGAGACCCACCAGTGGGTGACAGGCCACTGAGGAGGAGCCTGGGGGGACAGTGAGGACGGTGGGGTTAAAGGGGGAGGGGTGGGGGCAAGGAGTTGAAAACATTGGGGACATTGGGAACATTGGGGACATTGGGGACATTGGAGACACTGGGAACGTTGGGGACATTGGGGACACTGGGAACATTGAGGTGGTGGGGATGTCTCTGTGGGGATGTCTCTGTGGGGACACTGAGGACATTGGGGTTGGGGTGGTGGGGACTGGGCTGTGGGGACACTGGGGACATTGGGGTTAGGGTGGTGGTTTTGGTCTCCTCCAGCCCATTTTTGAGGTCTCTCAACCCATTTTTTACATCCCTCACCCCATTTTTCAGGTCCCTCACCCCATTTTTGTGGTCCGTTACTCCATTTTTGAGGTTCCTCACCCCATTTTTGGGCCCCCCTTGGCTGTTTTCGGGATCACCCCACCCAGGGTGGGTTTTGGGTCCCCCCAGACTCACTGTTGATGATGGTGGGGGCCCGGAACCTCCCAGCCAGTTGGTCCCACTCCAGGAGGGCGCAGGCACCGGCAAAGGGTTGGGCCAGGGCCACCCCCTGGTGCCCCCCTAGCGTGAAAGACTCGGCCCCCAGGGATGAGAAGGGCAGGGACTGGAATGGCCGGAGCTCTGGGAACACAGGGACATCATGGGGACACCATGGGGACAGCTCAATGCCACCCCCAAGGAAATGGGAACATCCTGGGGATACCCCACTGCCACCCCCAGGGACATGGGGACACCCTGGGGACACCCCAGAAACACCCCACTGTCACCCCTGGGGATATGGGGACAACCCCAAGGACACAGGACATGAGAACATCCTGGGGACACCTAAAGGAACATGGAGACATCCCAGGGACATCGCAGGGACATGGGGACACCATGGAGACAGCCCAATGCCATCCCCAGTGCCCCCCCCACGTGAAGGAATTGGCCCCCAGAGATGAGAAGGGCAGGGACTGGAACAGGCAGCGCTCAGGACACAGGGACACTGTGGGGGTGGCATGGGGACATCGTGGGGACAGCCTAGGTACAGCTCTGGGGGCATGGGGACACACTGGGGACACCCCCTGCCAACCCCGGGGACATGGGGACAGCCTTGGGACACTCCTGAGGACATGGGGACACCCCGGAGGACAAGCCCCATGCCACCCCCCAGGGACACAGGGACACCATGAGGACACCCCAGAGACATCTCCAGGCATGTGGGGACATCCCATGGACATTCCAAGGACATGAGGACACCTCAGGGACACCCTCAGGGACACTATGGAGACCTTTGGGGGACACTTTGGGGATACTTTGCTGCCACCTCTGGGGACACCAAAGGGACACTCTGGTTCCTTGGGGACACTTTGGAGGCTCTTGGGGCACCTCAAGGACACTCTGGGGACACTGGGGATACTTTAGGGACATTGGGGTCCATAGGTGTGTTTGTACCCCCAGCCCCGGGTGCCCAGTCCCCCCAAGTCCCTCCCAGTCCCTGCCAATCTCCTCCCAATCCCTTCTCAGTCCCTCCCAGTGCTCCCAGTTCCCACCTGCCCGCTGGCACTGGAAGTCCTGGGGGTCCAGGTGGGCAAGGGGGGTCCCTTGGTGGGGGGAGGGGCTGCGGCAGCGCCCAGCAGTCTCGGGGGAGGAGGGGACTGTCCCCAGCCACGACAGGAGCCACCGCAGGCGACAATCACAGCGGAACGGGTTCCCCCGCAGGTCCCTGCGCCACCAAGTGTCACCAAAGTGTCACCAGGTGTCACCAAAATGTCCCCAAATGTCACTAAATGTCCCCACGTGTCACCAAATGCCCCAAATCCCTCCAAGTCCCCCAATGTCCCCCTGATGTCCCCAATGTACCCCAAAACCCTCAATGTCCCCAATCCCCCCCAATGTCCCCATGTTCCCAAAGTCCCTATACCTCCCCCAATGTCCCGAATGTCCCCAATGCCCCGTCCTCCAATGCCCCCCATCCCCACAATGTCCCCAATGTCTCCAATGTCCCCAATCCCCCAATGTCCCCAATGTTCCCAACACTCCCCGCTTCCCTCCCTGTCCCCAATGTCCCCAGTGTCCGCACGGTGTCACTCACAGGTGGCTCAGGGTCTCCAGCCCCTGGAAGAGCCCCTGAGGCAGTGTCTCCAGGCGGTTGTTGGCCAAACTCCTGTGGGGACGTTGGGGGAACACTGGGGACATTGGGGACATTGAGGGGGACATAGGGAGAACATTGTGGGGTTTGGAGGGCTTGGGGACACCTGGGGGCACTTGGGGACATTGGGGACAGCTGGGGACAGGGAAATGGGGGCATCTGGGGACACCCGGCGACACATGGGGACATGGGGACAGGGACACAGGGACAGGAACATGGGGACACCTGGGGACAGGAACATGGGGACATTTGGGGACATCTGGGGACATGAGGACACCTGGGGATATTTGGGGACACCCTAATGTCCCCAATCCCCCCCAATGTGCCCCATGTCCCCCCAGTGTCCCCAGCGTCACTCACAGGAACAGGAGCCCCCGGAGGCCCCGCAGGGCAGTGGGTTCGATGGTCCCGACCTCGTTGTCCTCGATGAACCTGCGGCACCAGTTCACACCAGTTTGCACCAGTTCATACCAGTTCTCACCAGTTCACACAAGTTCAACTCAGTATCCCCCCACCCAGTACAGCCCAGTCCCTCCCCATTGTTCCCCCAGTTCCTCCCAGTACAGCCCAGTTTATCCCAGTCCACCCTAGTCCCTCCCCAGTGTCTCCCCAGTCCAGCCCAGTCCCTCCTCAATGTCTCTCCAGTTCCTCCCCAGTCCCTTCCAGTCCATTCCCAGTGCCCTCCCAATCCCTCCCCAGTCCCCCTCAGTCCCTTCCAGTCCCTCTCACAGGTACTCCAGTAACACCAGTCCAGCAAAGGCCCCGTCCCCGATGGTCCCCAAGCTCCCGGCGGTGACCAACCTGTGGGGACACCCCAGGGACACTCTGAGGACACTTTGGGGCTATTTAGGGCCAATGAAGAGACATTTGGGGCCATTTAAGGACTCTTGGGAACACCTTGGGGACATATGTGGACATTTTGGGATCACTTTAGGAACACTTCAGGACCATTTGGGGACTCCTGGGAACACCTTGGGGACATTTGGGGACATTGAGATAACATTTGGGGACACTCTGAAGACATTTGGGGACATTTGGAGACCCTTTGGGGACACACTGGGGACACTGAGGGGATCTTGGGGATATCTGGGGACATTGAGGTGACATTTGGGGACATTTGGTGATACTTTGGGGCCATTTGGGGCCATTGGTGACACTTTCGGGACACTTTGGGGACACTGAAGACATTTTGGGGACACAGAGGTAACACTTGGGGACACGTTGGGGACAGATTGGGGACACTGGTGTGACATTTGGGGCCATTTGGGGACACTTTGAGGACATTGGGGTCACTCACAGCAGCTGCAGGGTCGGGGTGTGGCGGAAGCTGCCCTCGGCCAGGACCTCGATGTGCCACCGAACCAGTGACCTGGGGGAACCGGGTGAACTGGGAGGGACTGGGAAGGCATTGGGGAAGACTGGGAGGACCAAACTGGGATAAACTGGGGACACAGGGGCCAAACTGGGCTGAACTGAGAGAAAGCAGGAACAACTTGGGCCAAACTGGAGTCAAACTGGGCTAAATTGGGGTAAACTGAGGTAAAACTGGGAGAAACTGGGACTAAACTGCACTAAACTGGTCCAAGTCAATCCTAAACTGGGAGAAACTGGAGCTAAACTGGACCGAATCAGTATCTGACTGGGCCATACTCATCCCAGCCAGCCCTAAACTGGTACTAAACTGGTCTAAACCAGCCACAACCTGGACCCAGCCCCGCCCATCCCGTGCAGGGGGCGTGGCTTCGAATGATGACGTCACAAGGCGGGCGGGGCCTCATTGGGGGGTCCGTGGGAGTCCCCACTGAGGGCTCACGGAAGGGGTTCAGGGGGTACCCAAAAAGCAGGAGGTCAAAGGGGAGGTCCCGGAAGGGGGTTTCCCATGGGGGAGGTCATTTT